TTTTTTTTTTTTTTAGTGTTACGATGCTGAGACCCAACCAGGGAAATTATCCCCGACTCCTCGCTGCTCCCTCCCCCTCCCAACATCTTCAGCGCCTATGATCGCTCGCCAGCAAACAATGCCTCTGAAGATGAATACGAGGCCGGCAAGGCCTGGTGTCTTGCTTACCCGCTTCTGCCGCCCCTCCGCGACATCGATCCGTACATGTCGGCCGCGCTTAAGGTATATGATCTCAACTTGCTGCAACCTCCTATCCCCGGCTGGCCTGGTGTGCTCGAGAGGATCGACCGGGGCGTCTGGCAAGTGAAGTGTAGGAATATCAGGGATTCGACGTAAGTATCTCTCCTTCCCCCCGAACCTATCAACCATCTCATGAGCATCTACTAAACCCAATCCCAGTCTAATCGCCTACCCCCCCCTCTACACCACTACCCTACACGCCCCCCTGACCCCCTCCAACCCCCGCCCTACCCATACAATCTACTACGAAGTCGCCCTTACCAAACCTCCCACTTCATTAGACACCGTCATCGCCCTCGGCTTCGCCGCCCTCCCCTACCCCTCCTTCCGCCTACCCGGCTGGCACCGCGGCAGTCTCGCCATCCACTCTGACGACGGCCACCGCTACATAAACGACGCCTGGGGCGGGAAGGAATTCACCTCGCCCTTCTTCACCATGTCCTCTCGTCCTGGCGAGCGCTGCGGGATTGGCATGACGTTTTCAAGACCGCAAGGCAAAGGGACGCAGATTGAGGTCGATGTGTTTTTCACCAAGGACGGGAAGAAGGTGGGCGGGTGGGATGTGAACGAGGAGTCGGATGCCAAGACGGATCTGGGGGTTGAGGGTTTGCAAGGGCATCATGATTTGTATTGTGCGGTGGGGGTTTGTGGGGGGGTTGAGTTTCAGATCGTGATGGAGCCGGGGAAGTGGTTGTTTACGCCGGGGGATTTTATAGCTGAGAAGGGTTCTGAGGAGGTGTGATATACCCAAATGGATGGGGGGTTTATTCTTACTAAGGCTCGCTGTATATCTGGTTGGTTTTGATAACATTCCTTTTAATGGAATGAAACCTTGCTTGCTTGATGATCTTATGGAGGAATTACAGGAAATTCTGGTTGATGATCTGGGGAATGATTGAAGGCAATGGTTGCTCTGGGCGAATTGTAGAGTAAAAATCAAATCGAGGCTAGTAGCAGAACACAGCTCTTATATCTCATCTCGTGCTAACACAGCTCTTTTCATCAAGACTCAAAATAAAATATAAAAGCTGATGATGATGATCTAATGCTCCCCTTACATAGAATCGTTTTTATCCTCACTCTTCAGCTCCTACACCTAATCCTCAATACCCCCCCACTCCTCCTCCTCCTCCTCCTCCTCCTCCTTCTTCTTCTTCTTCTCCTTCTCCCCCTCATCCCTACCATCATTACCCTTCTTCCCCTCCCTCTGCATCTGCATCTTCTTCCTCCTCTTACTCGCCTCAATCGCCTGCCTCCTATTATGCTCCTTCCTCCTCTCCCACGCACTCTTGGTCGTAATCCCCGCCTTGACCTCCCTTCCTCCTCGACTCAACCCCCCGCACCTTCAACTTCCTCCTCTCCTCCTTCTTCACATCCGGCAGCGCCTCCAGCAACCACCTGTGCACCGCCGCATCCGGCGCATCCATATCCTTCCCCGCCTGCCTCTCGCTGGCCGCAATCACGTTCGCGATGCTCTTGACATAGGGGATGTCGTCTTTCGTGTAGAAGGTTACTGCTACGCCGCCCTCGCGGCCGGCGCGGCCTGTGCGGCCTGCGCGATGGACGTATGACGCTGCGGAGGTGGGCACGTCGTAGTTGACTACGCCATTGACGCCGGGGAAGTCGATACCCCGCGCCAAGACGTCCGTGGTAATAAGAACCCAGACCTCGCCGGCGCGGAAACGGGCCATGATCCGCGACCGGGCGGTGTCGGTTAGGGAAGAGTGGAGCACGGCCAAGCGAGCAGGACCGCCCGCTTCAATGGGGATGTCGTACTGGAGTTCTTCGAAGAGGGCTTGTGCGCGCTCGATGGTTTGGGTGAAGACCAGGAAGGGGGGACGTAAGGGGGGGCCGGAGTCAGCTCCCGACACGGGGTGGAGGAGTTGCCGGATGGCGAGGAGTTTGCCCTTTTCGGTGGCCGTGTAGATCAGTTTGTGGGTGATGTTGGGGACGGCGGTGTCTTTGAGGCCGACGACCAGGCGAATGAGGGGGCGAGAGGCGTTGTATTGTCTGTAGCGGCGGTCGAGTTGCTTGGTAATGAGGGCTTCGATGCTGGAGGCCATGGTCGCGGACCAGCAGGTTAGGCTGACGTCGGTGTTGGTGCAGGCGCGCCAGATGCCCATTGTTTGTTTGCGGAAGATGGTGTCGAGGAGGACGTCGGCTTCATCGAGGATAAGGGAGCGGACGGTGGGGAGGATCTTGCGCGTGCCTCCTGAGCTGCGGCCGGTCAGGAAGTTGAGCAGGATCTTGGGTGTTGTGACAAGGATGTCGACTCGGGTAGGCGGCTTGTCGGCGTTGGCGTTGTTCTTGCGGCCCTTATGCTTGTTGCCCTTCTCCTTGTCACCCTTGTTTGCCTTCTCGCCCTCATCCTCCGACTCGGACTCGGACTCGCTCTCCTCTTCAGACTCTTCCTCTTCCTCCTCCCGCTCGCTTTCGCTCTCGCTCTCACTCTCACTTTCCGTCTTAGCGTGCTTCCCCTCGATCTCCTGCGCCGGGATCTTCATCCGTCCTTTCATCAGCACAACTCTAACACCCGTCCCAAATGCCAACTTCCGTCCCTCATTCACAATCTGACTGGCCAGCTCCCTCGTCGGCGCAATTACAATTGCCTCAAGCACATGATCATCCCTGCTCCGTCCCTCAGCAGCACGCCTCCTAAGGACCCCATCAATGGCTGGAATCAAAAAGGTAATCGTCTTGCCACTGCCGGTGGGCGCCACAGCAAGGAAGTCCACGCTTCCATTATCCGCATGCTTGTCCACCTTAAGCCCGTGCTTCTCGGCCGTCTTCTTGAGCGCCATCCTCGGGCGCAGCAGCAAAGGCAAACTGCCCATCTGCACCTCAGTTGGCACGCGGAAGCCCTGCGTGTGGATGTTGTTCGCGAGCTGGGCGTCGATGTCGTAAATGGTGCGCAGCTCGACGAAGGAATTGAGAGGCTGGGGGAAGATCTGGACCTTCTCGCCTTTCTTGGAAGCCTCCTCCTCCTCCTCCTCCTCCTCCTCCTCCTCCTCCTCCTCCTCCTTCTTCTTCTTCTTCTTCTTCTTTTCAGTTTCCTTCTCCTTCTTACCATCCTTCTTGCCCTTCTTTATCTTCTTCCCCTCCTCATCCTCTTGCTCTTTCTTGCCCTCCTCTACCGGCCGCAGTCCAGACATAACCGTAAACTTCAGCCTGTGCGACCGCAAAATCTGCTTGCACTCGTCCTCATCAAGCAGCTTGATCTTGCGCTTCTTCACAGCCTCTTCAGCTCCGGCTTCAGCATCGGCTTTTGGTTGCGCCGTCTGAACGGCAGGCTTCTTCGGCGCAAAATAATCGACGTCGCTCGGGCTCTCGCTGCCGTCGGAGTCATTGTCGGCTCCATCGCCTTGGTCGCCGTCCCTCCTTTTCCTTTTTTGGCCTCTATTGTTTATATTGACAGGGTCGTTGAACAGTTGCGGGCGAGGGAGAGCGCCAGCCGAGGGGAGCGGTGTCGCCGTCGCGGCTTGGGCTTTCTTCTTTTGCGGGTTTGGCTTTATGCCCCGCGATAGGACCTTGAGAATGTCCATTTTTTTTCTTTTACTTTGGACAATTGCGCGATGTTGGGGATTGTCGTCGCGCGGGCGTTGAAGATGCAAGTCAACAAACACAATGGAGCGCAGACGGCCGATAAAAAAGTTGAGCCCCACAGAAGCTGGGAAACTCTTTATCTTATCGTGAGACTTGTAACTTACGTGGCGTAATTTACGTGGAGTATACGAATGTTACATCTCCATCCAGGGGACCAGGGGACGTCTTGAACCCTCTCCGGGGCTGAGCTTACACCAACATCAGCACCAGCAACCGCACCAGCAGACTTAGTAGATCGGGGTATTCAATTTACACTCTACCTCTATACAAGATCCCACACCTAAAAAAAAAAAAAAAAAAGAGAGAGAGAGAGAGAGAGAGAGAGAGAAAGAAAGAGATAGTCTATCTCTACACTAGTAGTACAATAGCTTACTGCACATTCTCCCCAACGACCTCTTCACACCGTCCACACAATACATCCTCCTTCTCAGCCACATACCTCCAGCACCGAGGGCACTTCACCTGCCTCGGCGGGATCACAACCGCCTTGCACTCAGTCCCTTCAATCTCAAACACTTCCTCATACTTCCAAGCCACATCGGCCGGCACCTCCCCACCAACCTCAACAGCTGACACAACGAACATGGTATCCAGCTCACCAGCATACCTCTCCAGCGCCTCGCGTGCACGACTGCCCTCTGGAACGTGCAGCACCACGTTACAAGCCAGGGACGAACCCAAAACCTTGTCGGTACGGGCCTTCTCCGACGCCGCCTTAATCGCCGCCAGGGAGCGCATAATTACAGGAATATCCTTCCTCAGTCGGGCTTCATCCTCAGGGGACAAAGCCCTGGAAGGATCATGCAACAACGGTGCCTCATAAAGATGCTTCAGCGGCGAATCGGCATACTTCGAGTCAGCCTTGAGCCACTCCGGCCGATGCTCCCACGCCTCCTCAACCAACACGGGCGTCATTGGTGCCAGCATGCGCAGGAAGCCGATGAAGATGGGCTCGAGGACGCCGCCGCCGTCGGCGCAGTACAGCCGGTCCTTGAGAGCCTCGAGGTAGAACGCGGACAGGTCATTCGTCAACCAGTGGTTAAGCGTCATGAAGGCCTTGTTGAACTCAAAATTAGCATAGTGCCTGCCGACAGCGTCCATCGCATCACGGAGCTGGATGAGCGCGATGTGATCGAGGGTTGTGAGGGGCGCGGTGCGGGCAGACTCGTGCATCGAGCCGGTAAGCATTCGGATGGTCGTGCGGTACTTGAGGATGGCTTGGTGGATTGTCTTTAAGACGGGCTCGCCGAGGACCACGTCGCCTGAGTAATCGCTGCTGGCGACCCAGAGGCGGAGGGCGTCTGGGCCAAGGGCGTCTTTGATCGGTTGGCTGTTGTTGCTGCCTTTGCGGGGCTTGAGAGGTGGCATTAGGGTGCCGTCCATGACGTCGTCAGCGGAAATGACGTTGCCTAGGGACTTGGACATCTTCCTGCCTTCCTTGTCCAGAGTGAAGCCGTGAGTGATCAGGGTTTTGAAGGGAGACAAACCCAGCGTGTGGGCAGTTGAACCAGAGGCACTATCCTGTTGCTCCACCATGGCAGCGACGCGGGTAAGCAAACTAGATTGGAACCATCCACGAGCCTGATCGGAACCCTCCAAGTACAGGTCAGCCTGCTGGTTATTCAACATAGTCCAGCTGCTGCCGCTGTCAAACCACACATCCATCGTGTCCAGGCCACGCGTATACTTGATCCCGCTGCTGCGCAGTGACTCAGGAAGCCAGGCCGGGTCATCAAGGGCATCGGTCCACCAAGCATCAATACCACGCTCTTCGATCACCTTAATGAGATGGTCCATGACCTCATCAGTCATAACGGCGTTGCCATTCGGCTCGTACAGCGCTGGGATAGGAACGCCCCAGGCACGCTGGCGCGAGATACACCACTCGCTACGGCCCTTGACAAACGACTCCAGCCGGTTCTTGCCGCTCTCGGGAACAAACTTGACCTCCTCCAGTGCTGCGACCGCCTGGTTCTTGATCAACTCGACGTCGGCGAACCATTGGGCCGTTGCCCGGATGATAATAGGCTTCTTAGTGCGCCAGTCGTAGGGGTACTTGTGCTTGTAGTCGTGCACCTTCAGCACGTCATCACCCAAAATTTCGAGGACAGCAGGGCCGCCGTCCTCAAGAACCGAGCGTCCCTTCAGACGGGCCGGGTCGTCCGGGTAGGCTTCCTCAGTAAACAGCCCGTCGTTGTCGACGGGAGCATCAACAGGAATATCGAGAGGCAGGCAGGCCTGGTAGTCATCAAAACCGTGGCCGGGAGCACAGTGGACTAGACCGCTACCGGAAGCTTCGGTGACGAAGTGGCCGTGGATGATAGGCTGTGGCGCAGCTGACCTGCCCCTTAGGGCATTGACATAACACAGTTGCGTGAGCTGCCTTCCCTTGACCGAACCCAGAATCTCAGGAGCGGCCACCTCGGCACCCTCCTCCCCCTCCTTGATCAGGATCTTTGCTACGCGCCCCAAGCAGTTCTCCGCAACGAGGTAGGCGTCACCATCGACCTTCACGATATGGTATGTCAGGTCCTCATGGACAGCGATGGCCCTGTTGGCTGGCAGCGTCCAGGGAGTCGTAGTCCAGATGACCGCATACAACTTCCCCTGGAAGCCCTCCAGCCCAGGAAGATTCCCGTAGTCGCCCACAATAGGGAACCTGATGTATGCCGACCGCGAGACATGGTTCTCATTATACTCTAGCTCGGCCTCAGCCAGCGCCGTTCCAGAAGAAGGACTCCAATAGACAGGCTTGAAGCGGCGGTACACAAGCCCCCGACGAGCCATCTTCTGGAACAACCTCAGCTGCCTGATCTCATACTCCCGATCCATAGTAGCCCAGCGAGCATCCCAATCTGCCATGACTGCATACGACCTAAAGCTCTTCATCTGCTGCAAGATAGTATCAGCTGCCAACTTGCGAGCAGCCTGACGAATCGCAGCAGGTGTCATGTGTTTTCCGGCGGCCGCATCGACAGCCTTGAGTTCGATCGGCAGGCCATGACAGTCCCAGCCGGGCACATAATGCACGCGACGGCCCTTCTGAACCTGCACACGCAGGATCATGTCCTTGAGGATCTTGTTGAGGGCATGGCCGGCGTGCAGGGCGCCATTGGCGTAGGGAGGGCCGTCATGTAGAATGAACTCGTTGTCGGCGGGCCGATTGGCCGCCTGCCAGGCGTAGAGCTCATCGGCGCATCGCTGGATGTATTGATCGCGGTGTTGGGGGAGGGGACGGGGGCTGGGATTGACAGTTAGGCTTTTCTATCTTCTCTGTATGACGAGAAAGAGAGAGAGAGAGAGAGAGAGGAGGGGAGGGGAAGGGGGGGAAGGAAGGGGACGCACGGAAAGGTGGACTTAGGCAGCCGCAGCGTCGATGACCAGGTCTTCGACATGGTCTTCACATCGCAGGCGACAGCACCTCAGCGAATCTGTCGAACTGTCCACAAGAAGTTGAGTGAAGCTCCAAGCTGTCCAGCATCCACTGCGACCAAAAGATGTTGCTGGGCACTGGCTGCGCCTCGAAATTTCAAGGCTCGGCGGTTCGGGCGATCTCTGCCGATCGGCCCCGCTCATTGGTCGAAGGTCTGGTGGGGGACCTGCCTTTGTGGACTCACTCCAACTCATGTTCATCTGTTTTCCTGAGATCTGAACTCATGCCAAAATTTTAGCAAACAGTCATCCACAGAAATAGATTGTTCACCTGTGTCCTTCAAACAGGCCGCCCCAATGCTACCCATAGTTCTTCTTGTTGCTTTCAGACAAATGCTTGAAGTGAATATCGGTGTTGGAACTTCAGTCCAATGAAGGTAAGAGACTCGGGTATGGGGGCTACAGGCGACTGGAAGACCTTGGACTACTCGAGTAGATCTTCTCAATCAAGGCAGCCATCACATAGTGCAGTTCATCCCAGATAAATGGCATCTGGGAGCAAGTACCAAGTACGAGGCCAGGGACTGGAATAACTGTCATAACGTTGAGACTCAAAGGGGTATCATCAATTTTGCATCTCCATCGTGTGCTTTTTACATGCCCCGTATACTCTTGTTTCATTGTATGCCCAGATACCTATTCATCCAGCCATACTCGTACCCCATCAACCTTACATCCCATACAACGCTCCCGAAAACAGCGCTCCAGCCGCACCAAAGCTACTCAGCGACGCGACCGGCCGTCTCCAAACCTGCACGGCCTCCCCAAAAGGAGGCAAGCTGCGGTACCACCAGACCCCCACGCCTACCACAGCAGCCATTAGTCCGGCTCCCAGCAGCATCAACACTCCCCCCTTCCGTCTGTCCCGTTCCATGGTCCTGACCGCCCTCTCACCCAGCATGACGGCTCTCATCCTCTCCGTCCACCACGCCCTCCACAGCTCCCCCAGCACGGGCACCTCTCCCAGCACCCCACGCACAAACCGTACCAGCACCGCCCCCGCGGACCGACTCTCATGCCATTCTGTTGCCCACGGCAGATCGCTCCCGGGACCTTTGACAAACACGAGCTCCCGAAACTCCTCCACGAATCTTATTAAACGCGGGTAATCTCTCCTTAGCACCTCACCTAACCATCCTCGCGGTACGTCCGGCAGCGCCATCAGTGCTAGGTACCCCCACGCAAGACACCGCACCTCCAGCATCTGTACCGAGGGGCCAGTCCAGTCCACTTCGTCTAACACATCCAGCACATCCTTGGCCGCACCTTCGAGGCGTATCCGCCGCTTTGCTTCGGGCGCCAACATTCCGACGACACCCTTCCTCTTCACCTCAAGCCCCTTGCGCAGCGAAGCCGGCACCGTGGCGTTAACCCACTCCTCTTTCCCCAGGCTTGTCTCACTCTTCCCCTCATCCTCAGCGTCCGTGTCAAGCCCCGTAATCCCCAGGTGCGCCGCCCGCCTTGACATGGCCGCGCGTACATTAGGCGGCTCCGTCCATGGTAAAGGGAAGGGCAGAATCGATGAGTAGGCGGGGCGGGTAGAAGCGGCATAGTTGGCCGAGGAGACGTAGAGAGACAGAGCTAGGAGCGGCGCGGCATGCGCGGTTAGGAAGGCGGTATAAGCGGTGTTGTCGGCAGCCACTTTAGCAGGATCGACGTCGGGAGGGAGGTTGGGAGGAGGGGCATAGGAGGGCGGGGGATGCGCGCGCAGGTGCCGGATGATTGGAGAGAAGCCTGTTGTCCAGGTTGACGTTTTGGGATCGTAGAGGGCGGGGAGATGTTCTGTGGTTGACGTGGGTTAGGTGAGGAGACAGACAACTTAAGCCTCAGCTTTGTTTTGGGGGGGGGGGGTTGAAATTTATGCATACGAGTTGGGACTGCCGAAGGGCTGCTGGCGATCAGTTCGTAGTCGAACGGGCTAATGGTTTGCGTTACGAAGGCAATGACAGCCAGACACTCAGCATCGAGGGAAGGGAGGCCAAAAGCCGGTCCCCAAACATGGAGCTGTAGAACCATGACTGATCAAACAAACAATTGTGGGAGTTTTTGAGAACTCTCGACACAAATGTTTGCGATCAATCCAGCATTGATGCAATGGCGATGCTGCGTGCTCCGAGCTTCGCGAGATCACGTGTCGATAAGATATTGATATGCAGCCCGCTTAAAGTGCATACCGTAGTTATGTATGTAAAATAAAGCGTAATACGATAAGATAACATGGCACCCCGAGCTGCTGATAAGCCTGATAAGAACCCAAGGTTCATCTGATCGAGGAACTTTTCCAGAAGCCACATGCAAAACGAAGTCAGCCTGCCAGGAAGCGGGGACTGGAACCCCCTTTTCCCATCCCCGCCGCTGCCGCCAGCCAGATGACTTTGCCGCGCTCGTCCTGCTTCGACCCCACTTCTCCCGTCCAGCAGCCGCCAGCAACATGTGAGAGAAAGTAAAAGGTCCGGCAATGGCAAGCAAGCAAGCAAGCAAACAAACAAACCAATTCCACCTCAATCTCATTCTCGCCCCTGCATCTGACACAGTGGACAAGAAAAATCGCCGCCCGCAAACAATCAAGATGAGGTGACGCTCGCGCTACCGACTGTTTCAGCTTCAGGCTTCAACGGCGATACAGAAGCGGTCCGTCACACAGCATTCCCGCCCGCTAGGAGAGACGAGAGCCCAGAACTTACACGTACACTGCAGTTGTTGGTCAAATCGATCGATTTGCATGCCGTGTACGGAAATGTGTGCGCCTGCGGTATTACGCGCGGCGTACACAGTACATCCGTATCGCCCAACAAACATTCCAAGACAGTCAACAAGCCTCGAAACAGACGAGGCCCAAAATAGAGACCGCCTCTGCGCAGAAGGGGAAACGAAAACGGAAATCCCACGAAATGACCAAATGGGCACATCATAGCGCGAAAACGACGAACCTTTGCGGCAGCGTCTCGGCCCGGACGGAGATCCTGCGTAGCCTGGCGCTGGATGCTACGAGTACCGTACAATCCATAGCCCTGCACTTCCCAAAGGAGTAATGCCTTCCATCTAAACCCGGCTCTTTGCCCCGTCTGCCCCCTCCCCATCTGGACGTCTTGGGTATCTTTTTTCTTCTCGCTTGTGTATCTTGTTTGCCCCGCGAGGAAGAATGTGATTGTCCTTCCCTGGCCGATCGGGGTCTTGTTTGATGCCGATGCTACTTATGTAGATAGATGGGGCAAGAAGGGGAGTGAGAGAGGAGCCCGCGTGGGATGATTGTGTTCGGCGGGCGGCTCGGCAAATGGAGAGTCGTGGGCATATGGTAAGCTTGTAGATGATAGGCGATGCGAGGTGTGTATCGCAATTGTCCGAATGTACTTGTGTGAAGCATTAATGGCACGTTATCCTCACTCTAACCCTCGTCAGAATCCAGTTTTTACTATGCGCGTGCCAAATTGGAGTGATGTGACGCCGAGCAGTAATATTTGCCGTAGCCAGTCCGATTCGCCCACGTATACCCCATCTGTATGACTATATCTGTATGTCTTTCAGGTTGAAGTTGTCGATCGAACGGAAGAATGTGCACTGTTTCAAGCAGGTGGGCCATGATCGTCGATATTCCGTCGATATTCCTTCTTCAACTCCGACGATATTCCCCCTCGCTGGCTTGCCAAATCCGCCGGCCCATGAGACAAATGCGAGCCGGTTGATCTCCCGCCTGTGTCACTGTGATTGGATGTATCTCGCTACTTTGAATCGATCCAGGTTATGTGAAAAGGACCTACCTCTAGACAGGTGCTCTTGCGGCTGGATTTACCGGCATATCAAGCTGTCAGTCATACATTCCTCAGACGCGCGATCCCGAATGCTAGTGCCTATGCTGTACGAAGAATATATGCACGGCGCCTACATAGATTACTACATAACTGTACTGCGTATACAGTCGCAGTGTAACTGTCCCTTCAGAGATTAAAGGGCCTTTAAGAGACAGCGTTGCATCGTCGGCGGGGGAAACGACAGACGATATGTTTGTAGCAACGTCCAGAAGAGCAATCATATGATGATCTAGGTGGTTGTGATGACCACCCACATCCAGGTTTCAACCGGAAGAAGTGATCGGACTTTCATATAGCAGGGTATCACAAAAGGCATCACAAGACCAGGAATGAGAACAATATGATTTACCATCTTGTTGGCATTATGATCAAACACGGCCTATTATGATCAAGGGGGTATTGCGTGGCGAAAACATGTTGTTAATTCAGTTCTCAAACTCCCTTCACCCTCGTCCAGCTACCCCGCAATCCCAAGACACGCTTTGCTAGAGAGAGTTCCCAAAAATTCCCGTCATTCTCATGCTTCCTTCCTCCGCGGGGTATCGACAAATGCCCATAATAATACAGATGAAACCCCCTTCTAGTACTGCCTAACCATTGTCATAACTCGGATGTCCCATGTCGTAGCTTGCGCACAAAAGAGTAATTAAAAGACAGATATGGTAAGAAAAGATTAGGTGGTGATACACTCCATGCTGGGGATTGAAAAATAAGTGATTAAGCTGCCTGGCGAGCCGACTTTCAGGCAAGTGAAGTCAGCGCATGCGGCATAGAGCGGGTAATGCCGTGCAGTTCGGGCAGTGATGGTGGTAATATTGGTGGATGCCTATGCGTATAGGGCAAGCTGTGCGGTCGAAGAGCTGCAGAATTGGGGAACGAGGGCTTTTCTTTGAAGGGAGCCGACCGGTCGACAGTTTGCTGTTCTTTTCATCGAGACGCATGCAGGCAGATGGGGTCGTGTCGATGCTGCAAAGATGCAGAAACCCCCCGCTGCAGTGCAGACTGCGACTGGATTGGTGCAGTAGGGTCAAGAGCACGCAAATGCACGATGGTGTGCAGAAAGCCAGTCGAGATGCTCTGTTTGGCTGGTTGCCTGCGTTTCGCTGTGCCTTTGTCTTTTGCTTGAACTTATGCGTCGGGTCGCCGGAAGCAAAACCAATGCAGAGGGACGGCGCAGCCTTGTTTGTACGACCGTGTCCCCGAGGAACCGAACCACCATGTGTCGAACCCAGTGCCATGCTAGCAGAACCTAGCAGCGCAGCAGCGTGCGGCTCACAACCGACTCAACGATGTGAGATCGGCGCGGCCCGAGAACCAGAGTGATGAGACCGTAGCGGGTGCGTTGTGTCATGTCGAACCCAGATGGCCCTTTCATGACCATACCTCTCTAGTTCCTCTTGGGAAGAGGGGGAAGAGGGCGGCTCGGCGGCGGGCCAGGGCAGGGAGGGAGCTGAGTAGGGCGCTGAGCGGGCTCCATTGTGACGGTTATTGGTGTTGTTGGTTGAGGTGTTGGTGTCTTGTATGTGCAGCTAGGCCGGTGCCTTAGTGTAGCTGGATGCTATACGTGGGGATTGAGAAGACCTTTAAGTCGTTGAGCTTTGTGATGTTCTCTGTGTATCTCTTGGTTTCTCGCAGCCTTCGACGTCGAAAGGGCGGGAGGGAAGAGGATTCTTATATAGAAGATCGGACTTGGGCTGAATCCCGCGACGAGCTCTCTCAAATTACGAAGGTCACTGCCCACCCCCGGATGGGAAAGGAGCAGGCTCACAAGAACAGGGCTGTGGCCAGTTCCTTGCTCTCGACAAGGGGGGGTGTGGGAGGAGTGGGGCCAGGCACCGTTGGTTCCTGGCTGCGCAAACGGAGGTCCCGGGTACCGTGCGCAACACGGTGTGTACTTCATCCCGAGTCACCCCACCACCATTCCTGCGCGTATTTTGCGCCAAGTCCAGGTTCTGCTGCCGTCGAGCCAAGTACTGTGACTCAACATCCATCCGGAACTTGCGGTGACGCAGTGCGAGCTTGGCGGCCACACAGAATCTCCTGGTTCTCTCGTTCCTCGCCGAAAGGCAATGAAACGAGACGTCAGGGGCGGCGTTCGTTACAGCTCCCATCCGTATTGGGTTGTAATATGTGTTCCGTAACGCATTACGTGTAAGTTACCACAACCCCTGGCCCTCAACGCATGTGCCTGCCTGGCTTCCATCCTCCGCTGCCAGGGAACAGGACGCTTTGAAGATTATCTTCCACGCATGGCACTCCACCAGCCGGCAGAATGGCTCGAATTTTTCTCTTTGAAATCAAGTGGCCGGTTTGCGGCCGTGATGCTCGGCCGCCTGTCGGCCAGGAAATTTGTTCCGTGCTGTCCCACGCCGGATACAGTGGGCTGCTTCTTTAAGGCAACCTGCCCAACGAAAACTCAAGCCGATGAATTGATCAGCCCATCCTCGCCGCTGGCGTTGGGCATTGCAGTCGTCGTCTCTTTCTGCTGACCCCTTCAGGCTGTGTACATAAGTACAGAGTAAAATGAAACCTCAGCATTGATGTCGGGCACTGCAAAGCAAACGGCATCTTCCGAATCGCTGTCTTGTGTTGTCTGTGGCTGCGGATATCGAACAGCCTAGGTACAGCTGGAGGCGCGCCTGTAGAGGCCGAAATGGGCGGCTTACAGCGAGCTGAGGACGATCCCGGCCAGTCAACAAGGCAAATTTAGCACGGCCCAGGCGTTTTGTGGAGATCACGGTTCCAATCAAAGCCTTGTGCGAGTCTGTGAACCCATGGCCATTTTTTTTTCAGAGAAAACAATGACAAATTCACTCATCAAACAATGCCGCGTGTTTGTTGGAGTTGTGCGAAAACAACACGACTCAATATCTCAGTTTGGGAGCTTCTCTTTTACAGTGAGAACAATGAGGGAGAAAGTGGGCCACGACAAGTGTCAGGTTGTTGTCGATCTAGCTGCACGCCGTTGAATTTGGTTTTCATCAGCAGCATCGTCAAGGGGTCTGCCCCAGCACCTTGCAGCAGGACTTGTTGACAGCATCTGTCTCTCATCAGGGGCCCCCTTTTCCTGCTGGGCGATCTGACGTCTTGGAAATTCCCGAAACTGCTCACTAGTGTCATTTAAATTTTTGTTTCTCAAGAGCAGCATTGCCATCAAAGAGTCGCTTCGGTTCGTAAACTGACACTGACAACACTAACAACAGCCTC